CTCGATGAAATACTTGTTCTATTTATTGAATTATTTCCAGATTAGAATCTCATATGTCTATGCGAATTAAAACTCTAAGTTTATTCAATCAAGCGGCCAACAAGATTAAACGCATTAAGAACAATTCAATAAACTGAATAAAATAAATAAATCCATAAAGTTTGGAATTAAAATCAAAGATCCCTACATAGCAAATCCCTAACCTACAACACATGAATCGAGACGTCAGGGTTCATATCAATAATACAAAACATCATAAAATATAATAGGGAAGAATGCTTAGTCGATTTCCCGGTTTCGTAATCTCCCCCTTTTGTGTACTCCAGGATGTGTTTTCTGTCAAAAGTCTGAATATTTTCGATGGGTTCCAACCAAAGATTTCTATCCCAAAAGCCATTCTGGACAATCCTAAAGGTCAAGCAATCAATTCAACAAAACATAACCACGTTCAACGGATCACAATATTTTCAGGATATTTCTACTCTCTCATGCCATAGATCATTACATCAATGCTGAAAACGGTTTTATGTCCTAAACACTATATGAGAATGCACAATCCTAACAACAAACTATATGATCCTAATGCATCATATATGCACATGCAACTAAAAAGTGGAAATAAAAGAGAAAAATGCATGCAACACTACTCTATATGGATATGGTTTAGTGTTAGACGAATCCTCTCCCAGACTTGAATTGGACACCGTCCTCGGTGTCAATTCTCGTCTAGTAGAGATAACCAATAAGATGAGTCAAAAGAGAAGCAAATCAAAATAGGAAAAGAATACTTAGCTCGTGATGTTTGTTCACTCGCACTTAAGTCTGCCTACATCTATCGCATAGCTAGCTTCCTCACCTCCTCAATAGCTCTTCATTAGAATTCAACCTGGTGATAAGAGATACAAACCAATATCCGATGCAAAAGAAAAAGAAAGGAAAGGAAAAGACCAACTTAATACCTCGGGTTGTGATGAGGACATGGAGCCGGAACAGGAACGCTTGGAGCTGAAGCCGGAGCTGGAGCGTTTGGATGCGGAGCGGGAACGCACGGAGCTAGGAGCGGACATGGATCTCTCGGAGCAATCACTCGAAGACCAGCTTTCGGAAACTTCAACTGATCAAAACGTTACACGATCACTTGATCCCGTAAAGCTCGACAATGACGATCACGCGAAGGGTGCTCCATGAGCATACGTTAGAGCCGAGCCACCAATCACTCACGCTAAAGCTCGAGCACTTCGCCAGCTACTATATGGCGTCATTGATCAAGTCTTGAGCGGGATACGGGATAAAGACAAGGCCGATACATCACGGCATGACTTGCATCACGTCTTCACCATCATGACCGAGCCCTACATACAAAAGGAAGCTTCTTGAGCTGCAAGCAAAGTCCCAACAGCTATATTGACTTCCAACCACTTTATTAAATGCATTATTGGCTCCTCTTGTGCATGTTGATCACAATTATTGTCTAGATTTTCTATTTAAGTTTCGAACTCTCCATTGTAATCCTTTATACTTGTTTTTTTTAATGAATCTTGCTTTGAGTTTTCACTCATTCTCTCTCGTGTTGGTTTGTCCAAACGAATCAAGCTCGACAGTGTGTCCACGACTCCTCTAGGCTCGGTTTGTCCGGCCTTCGTTCTCGGTCTGTCCGAGAATTCCCCAACCTTCTACCCACTCTCATTGTTCATCCATCCCTTGATTCGAGTTTGAAATCGAGAGCCTCTTTCGAGTGCCTGTGAACGAACTCGAATCCCATCCTCTATCATTTCGACCTTCTCCATCCAATCTCCCGAATTCGAGACCTCCTACGAGTGCCGGTGGTCGAGATTGGCAACCTTCCATCCTCTTCCGACTTGGGCATGTATCATTTTTGGTATTAGAGCTTGCTCGAGCCAAGAGGACGTCCTCGGGTGAGATCTATCCTTTTCTATTCTCGTTTTTGTTTCATTTCGATTTGTTCAAGAAAACTGAAAACTATCTCACAAAAATAGTTCCGATTAAAACCCTGATTTCTTGTTCTATTCTCTACAGGTTGGATCGTGACTCGTGACTGTTCATCTCCTAATTTTCAGATTGTGCTTGAATCTATTTGACCGCTGAGTGCAAGCTGATTCGTGGCTGATCTTTGTTTAGCCTTGTCGTGATTTTCTGGACTGAAATTTGGCATTGCATGTTGGTTGTTCATCATTGATTGCCTCGTTTCAAAGACGTGTTAAATACCCCGTGCATATCAGTGACTATACGTACCCTGTCTACATACCTTGCACGTTCCGTGTTGTACGTCATTTTGAAATTGTTATCTCGTGTTTAAATCCATACAACGTTATCTCATACTTATTTCCGATTGCAATCACACGTTGATTGATTTATTTGAGTGGCAAGCACGAAACATGTTGAGTGATTCGCACATTAGTATGGTTCTTTTGTTCGTTGCGTGAGATATTTGCATTGTGCGAGATTTGAGCGAACAATGAGTAATCCCGAGCCATCTAAAGAAGGTTCTAACCGGGAACCTAGCAATGGCGATCTTCCGGTCATTGCAGATGATTATGGACCATTTGTCTAGGATAGAGGCCGAACGTCCCCCTGAACCACGCATGCACGAGCCGTTAGGTCACCCTAGACAAAACCAACCCCCTCCTATCGATCTACCGAGCGATGTAGAAAGCGATGTTCGACCAAGGCATAGGTCGAGAGAGAGAGTGGTAGATAATCTCCCCGATAGGGAAGAGCCCTGTAGGCACCAACACCACAGACCCCGAGAAAGGATTTTCGACGAGGACTCGGATCCCGATTACATCCCTAGGAGGAATTCGCCTCGTAGAGCTAGACCCGAACGATGGGCAAACCAAGTAGAGGATGATGACCATAGACCAAATAGGGGTTAAGGGGGAGACCTTAAGCTTAAACCACCATTGTTCGTAGGGCGTATAGATCCGGAAGCATATCTCGATTGGGAATGCCGCATGGATAACATCTTTGAATGTTATTCGTATTCGGACCGTCGACAAGTCCAATACGCGGCGGCTCAACTAGCTGAGAGTGCCTTAGCTTGGTGGGACCGAAAATTAACCGAACGACAGCTCAAATAGAGCTTGTCGGTACTTGGCGCGAAATGAAAGCGCTAATGCGGAAACGTTACATTCCGCCTCATTTCCACCGCGAACTCCAACGAAAATATCAAAGGGTTTCGCAAGGTGGTAGGACCATAGAAGAGTATTTTGAGGAATTTGAGCACCATAGGAGTAGGTTAGTGATTGACGAGGATGAGAAAACAGTGATGGCTTAATTCCTCGATGGTCTAAACGCGCATGTTGCTCGAAAGGTTGAATGTCACCCATACCAAAACCTTCACGAACTCCTGCATTTGGCAGTGAAAATTGAGAAACATAACCAACGTAAGCAAGCCCGACTAAGTAATCCAAAACCTTCGTTTAGCAACCCCGTTACCCTACCTAGAACCGCACCCACATCCCGAAAAGAAACGACCGAAAGTCGTGCTATTCCGAGTTCTAGGGACAAAGGAAAAGCCACCGAGACATCACAATCTCGAACTCAAAATGACTCTACACGTGATCTATGATCGCGGGAGATCATATGTTACAAGTGTCGGGGAAGGGGACATATGGCTCGTGACTGTCCAAATGCTAGAGTGATGATCATCACGGACAGTGGAGAATACGAGTCATTAGACGAGGAGGAGACGGGCGATCTTGAGGAAGAGATCGCATATCAAGATAGCGGTGAGTTGCTTGTCACTCGACGAGTACTCAACACGCTAGTAACTTTGGAAGAAACTGCCCAACAGGAGACGATCTTCCACACCCGTTGCATGATAAACGAAAAGGTATGTGAATGATTATCGATAGTGGTTCATGCACCAACATAGCGAGTGTGTACATGGTGAAAAAGCTGGACCTACCCACTGAAAAACACCCGCACCCGTATAAGCTGCAGTGGCTTAATAACAGCAGGGAAATCAAAGTGACCGAAAGGGTCAAAATCCTGTTCAGCATAGGCAAATACCGCGACGAGGTCCTTTGCGACGTCGTTCCTATGCAAGCCCGCCATATCCTCCTAGAAAGTCCCTGGCAATTCGATTGGGAAGTAAAACACGACGGACGAGCCAATCAGTACTCCTTCGTGTATGAAAAATGACAGGTTGTGCTCGCACCGTTCAGTCCGTCTAAAGTTCACGAGATGCAACTGAAACTAGTCAAGGATTCTGAACCGTAGAAAAAGAACTTCTATCTAAAAGCTAGTCAGGTGGTACGCGCTGTTCGTCAAGAACAGACGGTGTTGCTCTTGGCCTTCAAGGATCAATTGAGCCTCCATATGGAGACGCCGACACATGGTCCTGCTATTAGTCGACTCCTAGAGCGCTATAGCGACGTATTCCCGGATGAAATTCCGGCAGGACTACCACCTATACGCGGGATCAAGCATCAGATCGATCTAGTGCCTGGAGAACCATTGCCGAACCGGACAGCGCATCGGATGAATCCCGAAGAAACTCGAGAGCTCGAGAAACAAGTCCAAGAGCTAATGAATAAGGGTTATATCCGCGAGAGTCTCAGCCTTTGCACCGTTCCCGTACTACTGGTGCCAAAAATGGACGGGACTTGGAGAATGTGTGTGGATTGTCGTGCAATCAACAACGTAATGGTTAAGTACCGGCATCCCATACCTCGGCTTGATGAAATGCACGACGAACTAAGTGGAGCCACGATCTTCTCAAAGATTGATCTTAAGAGTGGCTACCATCAAGTCCGAATGAGAGAAGGCGACGAATGGAAAACCGCCTTCAAGACCAAATAAGGTCTCTATGAGTGGCTCGTTATGCTATTCGGGCTTACGAACGCCCCGAGCACTTTCATGCGGCTCATGAACCACGTTCTAAGAGCCTTCATCGGAAAGTTCGTAGTGGTCTACTTCACGACATTCTCGTCTATAGTCGACGTGAAAACGACCATCTTTCGCACCTAGAGCAAGTGATGACCACTCTTCGGAAGGGATGCCTATACGCAAACCTTAAGAAATGTTCATTCTGCACAAACGAGTTGGTGTTTCTAGGCTTTGTGATCAGTTCTCAAGGGCTGCAAGTTGACGGCGAAAAGATCAAAACCATACAAGGGTGGCCGACACCGTCTACTATCGGACATGTACGGAGTTTCCTCGGCCTAGCTAGTTTCTACCGCCGATTCGTCCGAGACTTTAGCAGCATCGCTGCTCCCCTCACTGTGATCACCAAGAAAGACGTGGTCTTCGAATGGGGCGAGACTCAAAAGCATGCTTTTTCCGCTCTAAAAGAAAGTCTCACTACCACACCGGTTTTAGTTCTTCCGAACTTTGACAAAACCTTCGAGATCGATTGCGATGCCTCCGTTAAGATTGGTATTGGAGCCGTCCTAATACAAGAGAAAAAGCTCGTGGCCTATTTTAGTGAAAAGCTCAGCGGAGCTATGCTAAACTATCCAACTTAAGACAAAGAGCTATACGCTCTTGTGCGTGCTCTCGAGGCCTGGCAGCATTACTTGCTCGCCAAAGAATTTGTCGTGCACCTAGATCACGAGACGTTAATGCATCTTAAAGGACAAACCGCGCTTAAGAGACGCCATGCCAAATGGCTCGAGTTTATTGAGACGTTTTCCTACGTGATCAAGTATAAAAAGGGAAAAGAAAACGTCGTCGTGGATGCTTTGTCTCGTAGACATACTCTGCTCTCGGTCATGGAAGCCCGCATGTTAGGCTTCGCATTCATCAAGAAAAATTATGAGACCGATCTAGACTTTCGCACCGTCATTGAGGAATGTAGACATGGCGCTTTTGGCCCATTTTATCTACATGACGGGTATCTATTCCGCGATCGAGACTATGCATCCCCACTGAGTCGATGCGAGACGTAATCATCCACGAGGCACATGGAGGTGCTCTTACGGGACATTTCAGAGTAGATAAGACGCTGGCCATCATTCAAGAACACTTCTTTTGGCCACATCTTAAGCGAGATGTGAGGAAGTTTTGTGCGAAGTGCATCGAATGCCATCGAGCTAAATCAAAAGCACATCCTCATGGCCTCTATATGCCATTACCGATCCCGACCCAGCCATGGGTAGACATTTCGATGGAATTTGTCCTCAGTCTCCCGAAGCTACAACACAAGGACTCTATATTTGTAGTGGTTGATCGGTTCTCGAAGATGGCTCACTTCATACCGTGCGCAAAAACGGATGACGCCAAAAACATAGCCAACCTCTTCTTTCGTGAGGTTGTGAGGTTGCACGGTATTCCCAAAACGATAGTATCCGATCGAGATTCAAAATTCCTTAGCCATTTTTGGCGGACCCTATGGAAGAAGATCGGTACTAAGCTCGTTATCTCCACGACGTGTCATCCTTGAACGGATGTGCCAAACCGAGGTCGTGAATCATACGCTATCGACTCCCTTGCAAGCGACCATCGGGAAAAATCTAGGCAATTGGGTAGAATGTATTCCCCAAAATAGTGTTGGCATACAACCGAGCTACACATTCTGCGACTCGTCATTCCCGTTTGAAACCGTATACGGATTAAACCCGATCACACCCTTGGACCTTGTAGCACTACCTAGTGACGAATGGGTGAACATTGACAGGGAACAATGGGCCGAGTCCATAAAGGAACTCCATCAGTGGGTTCGTGACAATATTGCTCGGAAAACCGAACAATACGCCCGACAAGCCAATAAGGGTCGAAAGGCCGTGATCTTTAACGAGGGCGATTGGGTTTGGTTGCATTTCCGACCAGAGTGTTTTCCCGACAAACGGAAATCAAATTACCACCACGCAGAAACGGTCCTTTCCGAGTCATCGAGCGCATCAACGACAATGCATATCGACTCGAGCTTCCCGGTGAGTATACCATTTCTAATTCCTTTAATGTTACTAATTTGCGTCCTTATATTGTAGATTCCGATTTTTCGTGGGCGAAAAGCTCTCAAAGGGGAGGGAATGATGAGGACATGGAGCTGGAACAGGAATGCTGCTTGGAGATGGAGCCGGAGCAGGAGAGCTTGGATGCGGAGCGGGACGCACGGAACTAGGAGCTGACATGGATCTCTCGGAGCAATCAACCGAAGACTATCTTTCGGAAACTTCAAGTGATCAAAACGTTACAGGATCACTTGATCCCATAAAGCTCAACAACGACGATCACGCGAAGGGTGCTCCACGAGCATACGTTAGAGCCGAGCCACCAATCACTCGCGCTAAAGCTCGAGCACTTCGCCAGCTACTATATGGCATCGTTGATCAAGTCTTGAGCGGGATACGGGAGAAAGACGAGGCCAACACATCACGACATGGCCTGCATCACGTCTTAACCATCATGACCGAGCCCTACATGCAAAAGGAAGCTTCTTGAGCTGCAAGCAAAGTCGCAACATCTATATTGACTTTCAACCACTTCATTAAATGCATTATTGGATCCTCTTGTGCATGTTGTGCACAATTATTGTCTAGATTTTCTATTTAACTTTCGAACTCTCCATTGTAATCCTTTAGACTTGTTTTTTTTTTAGTGAATCTTGCTTTGAGTTTTCACTCATTCTCTCTCGTGTTGGTGTGTCCAAACGAATCAAGCTCGATGGTGTGTCCGCGACTCCTCTAGGCTCAGTGTGTCCGGCCTTTGTTCTCGATCTGTCCGAGAATTCCCCAACCTTCTACCCACTCTCGTTGTTCATCCATCCAATTATTCGAGTTTGAAATCGAGAGCCTCTTTCGAGTGCCTGTGAACGAACTCGAATCCTATCCTCTATCATTTCGACCTTCAAAATCCAATCTCGAATTCGAGAGCCTCCTACAAGTGTTGATGATCGAGATTGGCAACCTTCCATGCTCTTTCGACTTGGGCGTGTATCAGATTGCCTCCCGGAAACACTTCTTTAAGGTCCTTAGCTCGACTCGTCTTCCTCACGTGGGAGGGGGTTCATGTTGGGTTATCTACGGGTTCCTAGCATTCGATCTCATCGATCTAGGGTTTGGTTTCTAGGTTTCATGCAGCGGAAGAAAAGATTTAAACCTCGCCAAACGTCACACAAAACCAGTTGTGCAATAACCCGAAAGAACGTGTATATCACCGTGGGATTCGAATACTTACCTCGGTCTATCAAGATCTGGATGTATCAATCGAGCCAGGGCCTGTTTTAATCACCAAGAGCTGAAAGTACAACTCCTCTACACGTATCCACACCAGCGGGAAGGATTCCAATACTTTGGAACGTATCTGCTAGGATTTGTGAAGAGAAAACGACGTCCTTGACTTGGAATCGATATTTCGGGGTTTAGAACAGAAGAGAAAACTTCTTTAATGCTCTAGGAAGTGTCTAGGACATCTTAGGTTGATTACCTAGGGTTTGGGACGGCTCCCATGATTAATAGGATTGTCTAAAACCCTAATTATGCGGAAAAGGACGGACGGTCTACCTCTATCAGAATGGACGGACCGTCACAGCTGGACCGACCAGTCCAACATCTATAGAACAGACGGACCGACACAGCTGGACTGACCGGTCCAGGTCTAGACCAGACGGTCTGGCCGTCTAGAACTCTTTCAGCTTGTTCCGTCGTTCTTTCTCGCATCGTACTCTTCACATGTGGTCCATCCCTAATGATGTGTGACCCTGTAGGCCCATTCGAAGTGGTAATGGCATCGGAAACCCTTTCGGAACCACAAGTCATGGTTAGCCTCTAGCAAGACGCCATGACCACCCACCTAGAATAGAGTTAGAGGTGATCTAACAAAGCCAGCAATAGTTTGAGTTATGATCCTTTGTCTCACGATGTCATATGTTGAACAAGGACATCGTATGAGCCACCCTTCAAGTTCAACCGCTTACTCGTCTTGGCAAATCGACTGACATCTATAGCGTGGCCACGCGTTTTTCACAGTCCGATTTCCACGAGGGGCCCAGCGACATCTCTCCTGCTAAGGAGGTGACAAATCCCATATTGCATGTCTACTATCTACATATGATTCGTAAACATATCTGAGCAACGCTGTTATGATCATCCGGTTAAAGACGACGTTTGACGCAGTCAAGACACGCCACTCCTCATATCAGATACTCTAGACATCTCAGGTCTGAGGATCCAAGAACGAACCGCTGTATGAGATTCAAGTCAGGACTCATGTCCATATGACAATCTCATGCAGGTCATCCAGTCACTCGTTCCAAACGACTACCCATGATTGTGATTTGCATCCAATGCATATGATCATCACCATCATCAATCACACCTCATGCTGGTCTTAATTTATCATTGTTCCCACAATGACAACTGACGAGGGAGTTTAGAATCATCTGCAATGATTCAAGGATATCTACCGAAATATAACAAACATGCCAAACATATAATGGGAAAAGTAATGCATTCACAAACCAATGAATCAATACATAGTCAAAATGTCATATCACGGATCATCATAGAGCATTACAACCAACAGTTCAGAGGGAATGGTTCTTGGAGGAATGGATTTAGGTGGAATGAGATTAGATGGGACAAACTCACCCGGCTTGTTATGGCTTCGATCGATGTGATGTAGTTCTTCATTTACCTTATCGACTGACCGAAGATTGAGTGGTGGTAATTGGGGGTCAGATGGAAATCCGATGGAAGAGGTGGTGGATCTCCTTGAATATCAGTTTGGGGGACTGCCTGACCCGAGATGGGAATGGTCTCGGAGGAGTAAACAACCAGTTCAACCTTATATGATTTCACCTTTAATTTTCGCTTTTGTGAACATGGTTGATCAAACTGAACGTCTTCCTTGTGTTTCTTTAGGCGTGAAGGGAACATAACCGGTGGTGGTTTTGGCGGTGGAGGCACATATTTTGGTTCTATCTCTTCGTAGTTCGTCCTTGAATAATCATCTGCGGTCAAAAAGTCAGGCATATAATCCAAATAAGCATTAGAACTGTTGGTTTAGTGCTCTATGATGTACTGTTTATGAGCTTTATTTAGATACATTTGATGTATTGATACTTTCTATGGTTTATGAGAGTATTTGGTTCATTACATGTTCTTGCATACTAGATGTGTTATGAAATCCATGTATCATTATGAATGATACTTAACTCCCTGGTCTTGTGTCATTATGGGAATGATGACATAATAAGACTAGTATGATGTGTGATTGATGATCATATAAATGATCATAGGTATTAGATACAATCACGATCATAGGTATTCTTTGGAGAATGAAATACTGGAATGACCCGCGTGAGATTGTCACATGGACTAGCGTCATGACTTGAATCTCATATGACGGTTCCATGATCGGATCCTTAGACCTGAGATATCTACGGAATCCAACATGAGGAGTTGCGTACTTTGATTACGTCAAAGGTCCTGCGTAACAGGAGGACTATAAAGGCGTGTATCAGGTACGAAACGAATCATGTGTTGGATTGTAGATAGTCAAGACGGGATTTGTACCTCTCGTA